GTGTGTGTGTTTGTGTGTGTGCGTGTTGTTTTGCCTGTTGGCTTGTGTGCATGTGACAATGTGTGTTTGAGTGTGTGTGTGTGTGCGGGTGTGCGTGTGCGTGTGCGTGTGCGTGTGTGTGTGTGTGTGTGTGTGTGTGTGTGTGTGTGTGTGTGTGTGTGTGTGTGTGTGTGTGTGTTTGTGTGTTTGTGTGTTTGTGTGTTTGTGTGTTTGTGTGTTTGTGTGTTTGTGTGTTTGTGTGTTTGTGTGTTTGTGTGTTTGTGTGTTTGTGTGTTTGTGTGTTTGTGTGTTTGTGTGTTTGTGTGTTTGTGTGTTTGTGTGTTTGTGTGTTTGTGTGTTTGTGTGTTTGTGTGTTTGTGTGTTTGTGTGTTTGTGTGTTTGTGTGTTTGTGTGTGTTTGTGTGTGTTTGTGTGTGTTTGTGTGTGTGTGTTTGTGTGTGTGTGTGTGTGTGTGTTTGTGCGTGTGCGTGTGCGTGTGCGTGCGTGCGAACGTGTGTCTCTTTGTGTGTGTGTGTGTGTGTGAGTGTGTGTGTGTGTGTGTTTGTGTCTGTGATTGTGTCTGTGTCTGTGTGTGTGTTTGTGTTGACTTGCGACCTCGAATGTTTTAATTGGGTCGCTGTTGTGTGGGGCTGCGTTGGCTCGACTGCGGGGGCCATTAGGCTCGAATGTTGCATTGGATCCGCGTACATGGCTCCGAGGCTTGCAGAGCCTTACTACGGGCCGCTCCTCCGTGATTTCCGGGGACTGGGCGCGGCAGCGGCTGCTTTCGGCTGGAGAGGCAGATGTGGCGGGGTGGGCGGGGAGGCATTTTTGGCATCCTCAAAGCAAAGCAAAACATGACAACCCAGACTCAGACTCTTAGAATTTGAGGCTAGACACTTAGGAACTTGTTTTCGGATTCACGTTCGCCGGCCGGTGAATTTGTAGGCTTGGTTTTGGACGGACGCAGGTCCGAACAGCAGATGATCTGGGCATCACGTGAGGATACGAGTGCCAGAATGTCTCCACACTGGGTTACCAGGACAGCTTTCCAAGCTGGATGTGTTTTGTTTGTTACGTTTTATGTATACATTTATATTGGGGCCGTCCGTAATTGCATGTCTAAAACTTATGAACAGCGACAACTTGTTGAGCCGCGCGATTGGTAAAACTCAAGCCGCGGTTGGCCGGCGATTGGACCGCGAAAGGGCAACAAAATTATCATGAATATAGACGTTGCATGTTGCCGACGCACGTCTCGTGCATTTTGATTGCGCGGTCTCGCGCAAAAGTTCCCTCTAGCAGCGATGCCCAACATTGCTCCGCGATTGGAATTTGTGGGACCGCGATTGGATCGCGATTGGCCGGCGATTGCCTGTTGGGGGGTTCCCAGGCAAAGTTATTTTGGAGAACCCCCATATGAGTATTCTGCATTGAGCTGCAGAGCACTTGATAGGCCAGGTCAACAGATTCGTTCCGCGTTTGAATGCGGCAGTCCCCGAGATAGTTAAACCCAATGATGGCTATATCCAACCCAACCAACTCCCACACTTATTGTAGTCCCAGCATGTCTCAGCCATGGTCACACATCAACAAGTCACAGGCTCCCCCAGTGCGGAACTCCTTCCAAACGCTTCCAGTCACTGCCCCCTCGAGGATTCAATGCTGCATCTCCGGGATGCCTTCCGCCGGGGTCAGTGCATCGGACACCTGGAGGGGCGCCTTGATCGCGTTCATCTCGTGTCTGGGGCGGATATAAGGTTAGCTAGCAGCCACGCTCGGAGTTCTTAGGCGCCAATCTGCAGATTAAGCGCTACCCAGGGTGCTCATTTGGACCAAACAAAAATCACATAAAGTTCCGCAAGGGTAAGCCAAAGCCATGCTCACCAGTCGGTGCATTGCCATGGCTTGCCGATCCTGGGCACTTCCAGTTGGCTTTCTTGATGCGTTTTGATTGGTGCCAATGTAGAAGGTTGCTTGATACTAGCAGAGCTTCGTTAAAGGTAACGCTCATTCCTTGGAGGCCAAGCGTGTACAGACAACTCAGGCACACAGATGCCGTCTTGTGCGTGTCAGTGGACTGGGCTAGCACTCGAGCACTGCCGCTGGGCAACATCCACGTGTTCGAGTTCAAGGCATCGATTTTCGGAGCTCTCCATTGTTTTTTGGTCGCCATATGAAAGTGAGCGTCCTGGGAGCTTGAGGGGATGTATTTTTGTGTATGTCAAGACCACGACTTGGGCACTTGGTCTCCACATGAACCCCGAAATGACGCCAAGCAGAACCCTTGTAAGTAGCACGTCGCTTGGGGACACGCAGGCCTTTCCCTGGAGGATTTTCATGGGGCATGGCTTTGGGTGAATTGCCAGTTGCCATTTGCGCGCCAAACACTCTCACGATGGTGCTATTCGCGGCTATAATTTGCTTTACCAGAGCCTGGATGTTTAGTTTCAACATGTTTTAACACTTGGCACCTCCATGCCTTTGTGAAGGCGATAGGTCAATTGCTCCTGTCACTTGGCTTGTTCTTGTTGGAGAGGTCAAGCATGTCCCTACTTCCAAATCATCTATAGTCGCCGCTTGTGTGTCCCTTTTTAGTGCACTTACAGGCAAGCTTCGACCCTTGCTAGATATGTGGAAGCACAAGCGGAGACTCATACCAGCTTATGAGTGTGTCTCGTGTCATCAACTTGAAAAGATGTGTTGCTATGGCCGCCTGTTGTCCGACTTAGCCAAGGAGCGGAAGCAGTGATCGCCGCTTGGTCCTGTGGGACATGGCCGAGTGGAAGGCAGGCCTTGTGCAGAATGCACAGCCCACAGCCCATAGCCCACCATTTGGGCTAGGACGCAAGAAGCAAATAGAGCAGCAAAGTGTTCAGTGCATGTAGTTTGCGTGAGCTTGCCAGCCTCGCAGCGTAGACATTGGCACGTGTTTGCTGACCTGAGGGCGTCGCTTGAGAAAGTTTACAGGCCTGCTGAGTCATGAATTGACCTCGAGCTGAGCATGTGGTGCCAGCACTTTAGCGATGAGTTGGTGAGCTCACCCTTGCACACTCCTAGAAGCACATGGGCCCGAGTCGTTGTCTCGCTGCTTAAGGTTCGTTTTGGGTTGTAGTTTGTTCCAAACAATTTCCAGACCCTGAGAAAGAGTCGGTCGTCATTAAAGACTTTACAATCATCATATTAGCTTTCTGGCATCCTTGCCGAGTGGTGGACTTTCTTGTGCGAGAGCACGCAAACCCACAGCAGCGGCCACTCTGCACAATACCATGCGTTTGCAAGGCCCTTCCAGAACCCATTCGCGAGAGCTACCCACGAGTTTTCAATCGGGAGAGAACCCTTTTTAATTCTTTTGCAAGACAGGCGTAAGAAATGTAGGCTTCACGCTCCCCAATCACAGTTCTAGGACTGCATTCGCAGCTTTGCTCCCTGAACTGAAAGGCTGGTCTCTCGACACAGGTCCCCGTCAGGTTCCATGTGTGTAGTGACCGAAATCGGTGCCGCGCTCCTGTCGTCCCAGTCGCTGCGGACCTTCCATGGCCACCGAGACGCGGTGCGCTGCCTTAGCGTGGCACCTCGGCATGCACAAGAGGGAGGCTATGTTTCCGGGTTCTGCTGGGATGTATGCTTGTATCCAACCCACCTTACCGGTCCAATCTAATTGTGCCCGGCAAGATCTTGGCCATTGTCGGGTTCCAGGACTTGGCGCAGAATGGCCAGAGAGTGAAGTGAAAAACAGCCCGCGATTCAAGGAAAAGTTGGCCCCCAATGTGGCAAAAAGGCTTGCGGGAAGGTCAGGAGGGCCTGAACATCATGCAAAAGCGAGTGGATACATGTCTTTCTTGGGAACGCAGCAAACCCTTATGCCATCCTGTGGCTCAGCTTCAAGCCGGGGGGGGCTTGGTCCTGGTCAAGCCAAGGACTGGGCGAAGGGTCAAGCGCTCAGCGGCAGCTTTGACCGCACCTTGCTGCTTTGGGACCTGGAGAACGAAAAGGCGACTGGTTCGGGATGATGTCAGGTGGCATGGGTTGTTTTTCCAGGGTTGTCAAGCCAAGGAGGTTTGCCATAGAGGGGCCAGTCGACCTGGAACCAGACTTCCTCAAGTCGAGGTCAGCCAACAGGCATGTCATGGAGGTTCCACGAAGAGATGCGGCAGCTAAGAACGATGACTGTGGCGCTGCCGATTGCTCACCCTGCAGGACTCTGCCTTGTAGTTTTACAAAGGAAACCACCGGACCACCCCCCCCCCCCGCGCGTCATGTGGGCGTGCCACCCACCAGGCGCTTGCCTCCTTAGAGGGCCATCGGGACTGGGTTTGCTGCGTATGCTGCTACTGGCCCGGGCGAAAAGCGCTCAGCGGTGGCAGGGAAGGTGCACTGAAGCCTCTCGGTGCCAGAGTGTCGTTGTTTTGTTTGGCTCCTTTGGTGACCCTCCGGTTCAGCAAAGAGGGGAAATTCATCGCCGCACCTGCTGGTGTCATGGCTCAAGTTGTTGTAAGCTTTTTCCGTTTGCTGGTCCTTCTGGGCAGGTTGCAGATCCTTTGTCAGGTCGTAGGGGCTGGAGCAGCTGGCCGTTCTGTGATAGATGGACCTGTTTCTTCCTGAGTGGGGATTGGGGATTTGGGGGCTGATTGGTACTGAGTGAGTCGTCCAACTTGTTGGCAGTGAGCTGTTGGGGAAGACCATCCTTTGTTGCAGCTTTGCTTCAGAATAGAACAGCCGCTCCCGGGTTAAATCATTGAAGTGCACAGCATGGTTTGGTCAGCGGATGTATTTTAGTTGAGCCAATTTCATGCTAGAAAGGCGGTTGGCCAATGATGCTGTGCAAAGAATGGACAACAGAGGCAACTGGTCAAGGCTGACAATCGTTTCAGTCTTCCTAGCATTGGTCCCACAATATCCGAAGGGATGACATTCGGCTGATGTTTACTAACACACAGACCATGGCAACGAAACAAGCAAGCAAACCAACGAACGAGCCAACAAAAGCACAAACCGCTTGCACGCACGCAAGCGCACGCCCACGCACACAAACACAAAACCACACAACTTGCACACAGCAACCACGCATACAAGCGGCTCCGTGTTGCAAGAGTTTGCAGGGGCCCGCCAGCTCCCGTGGCAATGGCCCAAGCGCACGTTGGCCCGCTCCGGCCCCCTGTTGACTCCCTTTTGTCCCTGACACACACACACACAGAGACACACCCACAGACTCAAACATGAAAGCGCACAAGCAGGCAGGCAGGAGGGCCAGGCCAGGCCAGGCAGGCAGGCAGGCAGGCAGGCAGGCACAGGCAGCAGGCAGGCAGGCAGGCAGGCAGGCAGGCAGGCAGGCAGGCAGGCAGGCAGGCAGGCAGGCAGGCAGGCAGGCACAGGCAGCAGGCAGGCAGGCAGGCAGGCAAGGCAGGCAAGGCAGGCAAGGCAGGCAAGGCAGGCAAGGCAGGCAAGGCAGGCAAGGCAGGCAAGGCAGGCAAGGCAGGCAGGGCAGGCAGGGCAGGGCAGGGCAGGGCAGGGCAGGGCACACACAAGCAAACAAAATCAAACATATGACAAGCAACCACAGCTCTTAAGCGCCACTGCAACGCGCTTCCCAAACCTAAGATGGATTATATAAGACGGACCAATATCGTCAAGACTTAGGCAAAGAGGTCTGGCAGGGCACCTTTCGCTGATTTCCGCCCAGGCTTTGGGACTTGGACACGGCCTTTTGCCTGCAACAATTGCAGGGCAGTTGATTTCGAGCAAGCATGGTCGGCACCTTGGGAAATCAAAGGCATCCCTACTGGGCTTCATGGTGATAATGGAGTACAAGTCCTTGGGATGTGAGCACCAGATTCATTTGTAGGGAGCACCGTTGCTTTGCATCGAAGGTTCCTCGCCTGGGATTTTCGGAGGCGCTGGTAGTTCTCACGACATGGGAGTGTTGTGTGAGCATCAGCTCCAGATTTTCCCTTGGTGAAAAGATGCCTTTAGCTGGCCGCGCTGGCGCATGGCTAGTTTCCCTTTGGCTTTCGCTTTAAGACATTCCCCGACAGGGTACCTTCAAACAAAGACACGTGTTAAGAATTTAAAGTACAGCCTTGGCTGGTCCTTTGCGGTTCTTGTGTTTTGGCCAGGAGGCTTTCCAGTCACGTACCTCAGGCAACGAGTGTACCCGGATGGTTTGTAACAAACTCATAGGGGTATGGCGATTTGGGCACCCTAGGGGTGCACCCTCGGTACATGATATTGGCCCCTGCGGAGTGAATGTGATTCACCTTGAGGCTCCACTACCTTTGAATGCCTTGGAGGTCTCAGAGAAGTAGCACGTTAGGGGTTCGAACCAGAAAGATCCTGGGAATTGTCAAGCAGCATCAGCTGCAGCATGAACAAGCATCAGCATCCTTTTTGGTCATCCCGCAGGTCGAGGTGGGGATTGGTCTAGGTGTGTTCAACCACAACTCTGTGGCCAACTCCCTCGGTGAATTTTACAGTAGCGGTTCCTTTCAAAGTAGAGCTGTCTCCTGTTGACACTTCCAATGTTGAAAGGGCGCCTTGAACCTCGCGGCATCATCCGTCTATTGAAAGTATCAATGTCGGAGTGCCCAGCCCCAAGGCTTCTTGCACGTTGACGCTCGAGGGCCATCCAGATGCCGTTTGGAGCGCAACTCGGCCAACCACGCCGGTGAACTTGCAGGGGACCTGTTGGCTGGTGGCAGAGGTTGCAAGGGGCAGGCCAGATTGACCGGCCCAATATTGGACCGTTGGGCATAGCAGAAGAACAGAAACCACGGAATTGGCCTCTAGGCTCATGGCTTACCCGTTCAGTTCACCACCCTTTGACTTTGTGAGGGTGGGTTTTGACTACCCATATCACTTACACTATCCAACTGTCTCCATCATGCTCAGCGTTTCACAGATCATGTCCACCATGGCTTGCTGAGGGAGCTTATCAGCCAGCATTATGGCATGTGCGCAAAACATTGTATATGGCTTATTGTCAGTGCGTGGCGCACCATATTCAGCTAAAAAAGGGGGGTAGCAATGACATAGGGGAACCCAAAACATATCCCACACTTTCAAGGCAAGTCATGTCCGGGGCTCAGGTGGCGCTCAACTTGACCGAAGCTTCTGCCGGGAGGGCGTTGAGCGCGGGCCGGGACCGCCAGCTGCGGCTTTGGTGCTTGGCGGAGGGCCGGCTTTTGCGGTGCCTGGCGGGTCACCAGGATGCTGTGAGGCGTTGGGGGCATCCCATCGGCCAGGTGCTCCCATGGGCTCCCGATGTGTTCTATGGTTTTCAGCTTGCTTGTTCAATGCAGAAACCGAATCAATTGGGATTGCGGATTATGCAGTTTACGGATTGCCAACCAGAGCAAGGATGAAGCGGATTCGGACTGTGGCTAGGCCCCAATGGATTTCAAACAGACATCCTGAGGCGTATTGGATGCTGTGACCAGTGTGGCGGGGCTTGGCCATGGTGTCCCGCAATTTTTCAGGAACTGCGCTCGATCCATGTAAACCTTGCTCTATTTTGCAGATGTCCTATCGTTGACCCCCCCCACACACCCACCATCAAAAAGGGGAGATTCCCACGATAACCTAATTAATCAGTTGCTTTGGCACCGCATTGCTTGTCCATGCCCTCCAGGTTCCCAGGCCAACCATCAAAGTGAAATCCCAGCGGCCAACCTGTGCAGGCTGGCCAACTAACGGCACTGCAATGTTGAGGCATTCATTCGGACATCAGATTCACTGTACGAATGCTCGGAGCGTTTAAGAGAACAGCTCGTGGCAGGTCCTTGGATGTGGACTGGGCTTCGCAGCAAGTCCTTAGCTGCGGCTTTGACAACGTGCTGCGACTTTGGAACCTGGAGTCCTCAGATGCCCGCCGTGAACAGCCCGCTGCTGCAGACCCATTACCCATTTGATGATTGGATTAATTGCACACCCAACAAGCTCAAGAATTTGAGGTGCCCTGTTGACAGTCTCAGTTTACTTGTCAGCTCAGAATGGTAGCACTGAGGAACATATCCAGGAATTCGAGGGTCACACCAGAGGCCAGAACTTGCTCTTCGCGCTTGTTTCAGGGGGGGACGGCATTTGTCCTCGGAAATTCGCCGGGATCGCCGGGGCTGCCAAAAAACAGTCCCACCTAAGAGACTGTCTGACTGCTGCACCTTCCGCATTTCTCAGGTTTCATCAGCACGATCAAATTGACTTTTGGCGAGCCGTCACGCGCGTTCCATCCAACGAACAGGCTCGGCACAGCATGTTGAGAAACTGGGCTTCCTTGTTCGCTTTGCGCTCACTTGGCTGCCTGATCAAGTCGCAGACCGGGTGCTGGGTAATTCCCTTTGGCCAGGTGTGACCTGCTGCAGCGTGGACTGGACCTCGGGCATGGCGGTATCTGGAGGCAGGGGAACGAAACGCAGCAGCACTGCGGAAGGCAAAGTAGTTCGCATGAAGCAATTCAACTGCAGTGCGAAAGAATGACATAGCATGATGCACATGCCTAAAGGCAGATGGGATTGTCATGCGGAGGTTTCGCTGTTCTTTGGTAGTGGGACGCCTTCTTTCCGAGGTGTTGGGTGTCACGCATTGTGGATACTTGTTGATGCCATTGCTGATAGGACAAGCTGGATTCGCTTCATACTAGACTGTGCTCAATAAATGCATGTTTTGCGGGTTCACGTGGTGAAAAGGACGAAGCCCGACGTCCTCAGCATATGACAGATCATTGCAGCTTTGTCAACTATGAGTTCTACACACGCGTTCCATCGCCCACATATGTAATGAAGCCCACTCATTGCAGCAAGTTGCAGAATCATGGGGAAAGTCTTGCCTGCTGTTTGCACTCTGGCTGCTGCAATTTCATGCGCCTACTGGATGCCACTTCCGCTTGACATGCAGACGTGGATGTCATGTTCTGCGTCAGCAACAGCACCCCCCTTGGCTCCCACACGTATTTCAGGGTTCTCCTTATGCAATTGCATTTCTGATTTGTTCTTCCTCAGCCCTGCAAGTTTTGGAGGCACAGGCTTCGTCAATCAGCACTCAGAGTGCTACGGCCCCATTTCTGAAGCGTTTCCTTCTTTTCTCTTTCAGCTTTCCGGTGCTTTGACCATAACCTTGTTCCCTAAGGTGGCCCCTTTGGGACTGAACACGTGAGGCGAAGACAGCACGGTGCGGCTCTGGGACATTTTCGCAGAAGATGATGCGTCAGATCGCGTCCTGGGCGGGCATGCCGGGGCAGAGCCTTGGATAAACGGTTCATGGGTTTTTGGCTAGCAGTCCCTGTGAGCCAGAAGTACTTACTGCTGTCGAAAGTGTCCTGTAGATCCCTAAACAAAATGCAAGTACTCCAACCTGAATTACAGGTGTTTCCCTGTTTCCCACTATAAATCAGCCGTGCCGTCGACTGGCATGATGTATACTGAGGGAGGGGCCCTTAAAAGACAACAGTTGCATGCCTGGATGCTCGATATGCCCCTGGCCAAAGTGGGTTGTCTTGACAGCCAGGTCCCCCAAAATGATGCCTTTGAATTAGTTTCCCTTTCAACCCCAAAAAGGGTGCCCCTAAACAAAAGAGCAAAACAGACAAACAGCAACTGTTACCTGCAACAGCTGATGACTCTTTGGCAAGCAAGGTGAGCAAAGAACCCACGGTCCAAAGGGACTGGCTTCAAGGTGCTTTGCGTCTCTATGGGCTGCGGCCCCAGCATCACACCACGTGGAGACAGCGCAGGCGCGTGGAGGCAATATAATCTCCCACTGCTCAGAAGCATTCTGATTCCAAGCGCTGTCTAACTTAAGAATCGATCCTGGTGCAGCCTGTGCGTTTCTCCCTCAGGCCATTGGGATCTTAGCTCTTGGCAGAAAGGTTTTAATGATGGAATGGCCTTAGAGGAGGGAGGGGGTACCTTCTTGAATCCCCGCCCTATGCTCAGTTGACGTAGAGCAGGGGGGAGTCCGTGATTTTGTAGCTGTTTGGGATCTACTTGTCTGACAAGCATGGGGTTCCCCTTATGCTGGCCAGCTCTTAGGGTGAAAATGTTTGCTTGCTAATTAGCTGCGGCAGGGGTTGCACCCGAAAAGCACATGACCTGCGTTTGGACACATGGCTCAACGCCGATCGGTTGACCGTTTGCCTTTACATTTTTGGCCACCAGGTGTTGCTGGCTCAACTTGTGAATCTGAGATTTCTGGGTGGTTGGGACCAGCGGGATTGTGTCAGGTGCAAAGGAGTCTCGCCTTGCTTTGCCAGGCCCTGATGCTTTCTCAGCCTACGCAGCCTGGGGCGAGCAGGTGACCAGAATGATGGCTGGCCGAGTGATATTCTAGCAGCGGAGCTGCGAGTTCGTTCAGATGATCACACGTGGTGACCCCGGTGGGGCAAGGATGAGGCAAACGAAGCTCTTCAAGGCTGGCGTCCTCTGACCCGGCGATGCTCCACGCAGCGAGACCCGCGCATTGCGATGCGGCCTCGAGGAGGCCGACTGTGAGACAGCTGCGCGATTCGGTATCGATCCTAGAGCCCGATTTCCTGGAAGGGGCCTCGGAATATCTCGGAATGCACAAAATCCTCAGAGGTAGAAAACAATTGCCTTTGTGCGCACAGTACCTTGACTGACTGGCCTTGCTGGCAACAGGCAAGCCAGCCAATGTAATGTGCACACAGCAGATTGTTTGAATCCAGCAACCGGGGCGGACATAAGTTCTACAGAGGAAAATGCAGTACCAGTATCGCTGTTTCGGCGTTTGTACGTTGAAATGGCGTGGCCATTGCAAAAGGAGAAAAGGATTGCGCGCAGGTACGTGCCAGCAAAGAGGCGAGCCCAGATAGTGCGCTGCTTGCAGGGTCACAACGCCTGGTTTTGTCCTGCAATGCTTGGGCACGGCATTGCATGTGTGCAGATCTGCGATGGCATGAGCAGTCTGGTCCATAGCGTCACAAAAGGGCGACATAGTGCAAGTGGCAGAACACGGCACAGAGAAAGACCTGTAAACATTGAGTCTCAGCCAGGGAACTCGGAGAAGGATGCACGCTGCAGAATTTGCTTTAATCAACTTATATAGTTGGAAGCTTCTGGCATAAAATTGGCAAGACGGGCACCTCGCGCATTGCAGAGCAATGTCGCCTGCGCCCGTCAGCCCCAATCGTCCCTTTTCAAACCTGAGCCAGGGCCTTAGAAATGCAAAATTGACAGGAATGGCATGTTATCAGTGTCAAAGGAAGAGGCATTCTTGCAAATAGTGCCGTTTGTCATTGTTTGGGCCGTTGCCTGCGCTCGGCCGACAGCGCCGATTCTTCCGTTGTATCAGGGATGCTTCGCCGTATGCTGGTTCGAACCAACCCTTTGCTAAATTCGATGCTGGAGCGGATTGGCATGGATGCCACCTTTTTCATTTGTTGGACGGGTTGCGTGGCAAACTATGCCCGGCTCCGGAATTTGGAGTGATAACCAAATGTATTTCCGGATAATTCCTCCCCCTGAAAGAGCGTCTTTTGTGCGTAGGTTTCTTAGCGGCTACAGTATGTGTATTGTGGCTTGTCGTTTCGTTTTCTATAAGGGCTTGGCATAAGAAGTGGAAGAGCATGTAGCATGCCCAGCATTTGCGGTATCCGCACTGCTTGGCCAAGCCTGATTGACTTTGGACCGCAATTGTTGGGGCAAACACCTGCCAGGCCCGAACTCGCTTGAACCTTCTAGCAGAATTTCGCGCCTCCCAAGCTCACCATATCCCTTCCCATCCACCCCACCCTATGCATCCCTAGCCTTTGGCCCGGTTGAGGCAAGCTGAGCCAAGCCAGCCAGGATCGGCAGGCGCTGGAGGCGGCAGTGGAGCAGTATCTCACGCTGCCGGGGCAGCTGGAGGAAGAGACTCCCGGCGAACCAAACATGATTCTGTGCCAAGGGCCCCCCAAAATGATCCAAACTGGTAGTGAATTGTGCTTTTTGTTCCCTTGAAACCAAACTGAAAAGGGTGCCCCGAAAAGACAAACCACTAACCCACATGGGTGTTTCAACTGAAACTTGGAGACCTGTTGGACGGGTTTTTGTTTTCGGAGGCGCCGGGGGAGAGGTAAACCCAACCTTGATGATTTGCCTTTGATTCAGCTTGAGGTGTTTCTTGTTTCTTTCCTTTTTGGCATCCTTCTTCAAGGTGATGCTAATTGTGTTTACCAGGGCTGGGGCTTTTACTTTTTGAGGGTCGGTTCCCCTGGTTGGTTGGTCGGTTCCCCTGGTTGGTTGGTTGGTTGGTTGGTTGGTTGGTTGGTTGGTTGGTTGGTTGGTTGGTTGGTTGGTTGGTTGGTTGGTTGGTTGGTTGGTTGGTTGGTTGGTGGTTAGTTGGTTGGCTGCGCATCCCCCGCATCACAGGCCTCACTTTCTAGAGATCGCAAAGGGCTGATATCCAGGCAGGGCTTGGTGTGGCTTTGGGTGGCTTTGGGTGATGCTGGGCCAACAAGAGCCAGCACTAGTCAAAAGCCAGCCTAGTAAAAAGGAAACACAAATGCCTCATACTTGATTGTAAACGGATGCCACTAGGGCGTTGCGTAAGACAGAGGACATTCAATAAGGTGGCTCCTCCTTCACTGTTAGTTCAACCAACTCGAAAAAGGGGGCTAAAAGAAGGTGCCCCACTTGAAGGTGGGGAGTGGTCAAGAGTTGCGCTTTATAGTCCCGTTGTATAACACCCTCTTGCATCAAATGCGGAAGCAGACAGAAGGAACTTGGAAGACTGTTGTCATTGTTGAAGAGGCCTCCATCCACTTCCGGCAGTCTTGTTCCGTATCATGCTTTGAGAACAATTCCGATGCGCATGCTGCACACTTTGGGAGCAGGGGACTCTTGTTGAGACAATGCAGGGCACTGACCCTTAACATGTTGCAAAGTGCCTTCTTCGATTTGTGCAATACCATGCTTCTTTGCAGCTATACTTTGCCCGAGTCAGTTGATGAATTGCACAGGGATGCCAGGCTTGTTTCATTGAAGCAGCCAATCAAGAATCGGCGTTCCATTCTGCTTGCCCAAATGTACGAGAGGCCCAATTTGTTTTCTGGTGCCATTCCCGTGTCATTCCAAGCGGCTTTGCAACAGCATTGACAGAGCTTCAGTTGGCAGATTGCTGGCTTTCTGCCCTAAAAAAGCCAGCAAGTATAAGCTTAGCGCTTGGCGCCATCGCCAAGGGCCGAGTCGATAAACCTGCAAGAATTCTTCGACGATAATGGCGTCATCCTCCCGGTCTCGCCCAAAAACTGGAGCCTGGCTGCATCCCCGCGGCCGCTCTCAAGGACGGACATGGGGCAGTCGCATGCTGTCACAGCACCTTGGGGTCAATGCATTGCCACAGAGTAACCTCTTTGAATGGAGAAGCCTTGCATTGAGAGGCATGGCAGTTTGCGCCTTGGTGATTTTGCGTACGACGTATAGCTGTCAGGAGCGTGCCCACGGAGGAGAAGCATGGATCGTTGTCCACGCGGCAGCAGCTGATGAATACGCAGAGCGCGCTGGAAAAGGCACGAAAGATGGCTGATCAGCAGAGAAAGGCGAGGCAGAGGGCACCGTCAGGGAAGTGAGCGTTTGACCAAAGGGACCAGGGTTGAAACACTTACGCAGCCTTACACGAGCACTCTGTTTTGATGGCCATGCTTGGTGAGTTTATCGCTTTGCTTTTCTGAAGCTCAATGCTGGGGGACTTGAGACAACGATGTTTTGTTGTGGGGTCCAGCCCTGGCTACTGGCAGGCAGCAAAAAAGCAGTTTCATCAAAACGCCTTTACCCAAGAAAGGGTGTTGTAGCAAAGTAGCCAAAGCATCCTGGTCAGTGTGTGTAGGCAGGTTCAGGATGCATGACGGGGTCACCGCTGCGCCTGGCTGCGGGCCCACCGGCCCACCCTCTCTCACTGAAAGAACGGATCGCGCCAGCTAACCCGCCAGTCCCGGAAGACGACTCGCATCTACTTTTTTCTTTCAGCAAGGGGCCACAGTGTTTGAGTATACTGGCTGTCCGAATCTACTGCGCCTCGCCCAAGCAAAAACTTTGTCAATTGAATTACACACGTGTTTATAAAACCTTTTTTTTTGGGGGGGGTGTGCGCGTTTGTCATGTCAAGTTTGTTTGAAAAGACTCATGACTTGTCCACAGCTGTTTCTTTTGCTGGAGGAAAGCCAGAAGAAGCAAGAGGTGGTGAGTAGCCAGGCGGTGGACATCCAGCGCCTTAGGCAGGGTTGTCAATGCTTTGCCTTTCGAGAAATATGACCATTTGTTCCCCAGTGTCGTCCTGCTTTGGGGGCCAGCACGCTTTTACCCGGAAAGTGTGTTCATGCACATGATTTTTGCCCTCTCCCAGTGGTGTCCTGGTGGTGTTTTGGCGTGGGTGGTGTCCCGGTGATGCATGCTGACACCCTGTGACGAGCTCGTGTGTTTCGCAAGGAAGAACACATTGTGGGAATCACAGTGCGTTCACCCTATTGCTTTGGCGGTCTGTTGCTGCGTTAATTGGGCACGTTTCTTCACGGTTGTGCTTGCAGGGGAGTTATTCAATTTTATTCGAGCTTTGTCAGGCACTACCACTTGCTTTTCTCGCCGCTGGGCTACGTGCCCGCGGGACCTGTGTTCAAGAGCCACCTCAGCCACATGCACATCGAGGACCGGCTCCACTGCAACTAAGCGCACTGGGGCCACTGGGATGGGCGGCCAACCGGAAGCGTGACAGAGAAGTCCAGGAAAGCAGTTGCCACCTTTCAAGCAGATGCACTTACTTTTGTGACCAAGGAGGGAGTGACTCAGCAATGAATCCTGGCGGATGCTTTGACATTCTGGCGGGCGCAAACCTCCTGGGGTTGAAGTTTGTGCTTGCGCTGAGGCTTCAGCTGCATGATAGGTGACTGGCCAGAAAAAAAAGTGAAAACGCGGAAGCTCAGCTGAAACAAGTTAGGCAAAAGAGGGTGAACGCAATATCGAAGCCCTCTGTCGTATGACAGACTGGTGAGGAGTCCTTGCCGGTGCACAACGGCGATCAGGAAGAGCTGGCAGACGAGGCTCTTACCACAAAAGGCCTGCACATAGCCGTGGTTGAGGCCTTGGCTAGCATGGTAGGCTTTGCTGGTAGCGTGCGCATGCAAGCAGACCCTATGACAGGAGCGGGGATCGACCGTGATTCGGTAAACCGAATGGCGGACAGGGAAGCATTATTGCATGCATCTGCATGCGTTCGCAAGGCCCCGGGAGTGCCATGACCAACGAGCAGCGCTCCCTGCTACTGGCAGTGTTCAGGAAGTCAATTGTGAAGGCAGCCTGCGCGAGCGGAGCCGGCTGTGCAGTGGTATGCACCCAGAAAAGATTCACCCTGCCCAGGTTCCACTTTCGTTGGAGCTGTGGCGAGGGTTTTTGTGCCCTGAACGCTGTGGGAACATCCTGGATCCTGGGCCTGGGCGTCTGTGCCTTGCATTTGATAATGAATTTCAGAAGGTCTGAAGGCGAATCAGGGTCCAGACAGTCAGTATGAGACAGACAAGATAGACGCGATAGACGGAGTCCGGCCTGGAGATTAGTTCGTATTCGCTGCAATTGTGTGTTATTTGGCACGCATGGTCTTGCTGCTCCTGGCATTGTGTTTCTTCTTCCTTGTCTTTTGGTTGTTAATGGCAACGTAGTCAATGATGTTGAATGGGCCTCAGCTGACGAGTCAAGGCCGTGGCGTCTCGACTGGCTGATGGTTCGTACTGCACGATTGATCTCTTGGCTCGGCTGAATGGGTCTCCACAGATGTTAGGGATTGGCCTGGTTTGTACATTGGTCTCCACAATGGACCAGTGTGTTTGTCAGTGTGTGTGTGTGTGTGTTTGTTTGCGGGTCTGTTTTGTATGTTTTTGTGGCCGCCCATTTGTTGAGTTGTTTGTTTGTGTGTCCGTGTGCGCGCTTGCCTTTGCTCAAGCAAACAGATTTCCTCAGTACCTCGGGGCTTTCCAAATCCATTGGAGCTTCCTTGCTGTGCGTGCATGTGACTGGCAGTTGCAGGTCACAGGGAAAGGCCAGCGAACGGCGATGATGTACAGGCGCACCGTGGGTTGGGAATACAGGGGCCGCTGAGGGCGCGAGCTTTGGGCGTAGGACACCCCGTCGTAGAATTTCGAGGGCATTTCGCTTTTCTGCACCATGGGGTCGCTGGATATTGGCATTGGAACGGGATTTGCAAGTGCTCATTTGACTGGCATATATACCCCAGTCTGAGAGCTGCCGTAATTAGCCAGGTTGTTGGCTACGGCAAGTTAGAACGCACGAACCTGGCATTTGTGCTGCACACTGGGCTTTTGGCTAGGGTTTCTGGCGGGGAGCACCCTGCAAATGATTCTTGGACAACCCCCCCCAGAAAAAGGATGCGCGCATGACTTCATTGTTTGTCGCTTCCGTCATCTTGCCCTTTGGGTTGCGCGTCCGAAGCAGGGCGTTCCATCACGCTGGCACCTTTGGGAGGGCCCTAGATGAGGCAACTCACCTTGAGAAGCACAGCCAGTGACTGTCTGGGAGTCATGGTTTCACAGGAACACATCAGTTTAAGGACATGGCGGCATTAGGTCCATTAGGTGCTTGGGCGCCAGCGGCTTGCAGGTGGACGTGGTTTCGATTTCTGATCCACTGCAAACTTGTGGGCCCTGAAGACTCCTGGGATCGCCACTACCCCGCAGATATGAGCCCGGGCAGCAATTATCGGGAACGGATGAAGACACCTGGATGAGAAACGGGAGGGTGTTTTTAAATTAAAACCCCTTGTCAATCAGGAGGTGTATGAACACCCCTTGTCCCTTGGCCACTTTCCATAGTGGGGGATGCGGGTGGGAGGGTAAGCTTCTGGCTTTCAGCTCCTGTAAGTTTTGCCGCGCTACTTGGGCCGTGTTTGCGCCTAGCATGACGCTTCCCAGGCCGGAGCTGCACATGGCGCCTTTCTAGACGGTTCGCTGGTGTAGTGTTGGTTTATTTTAATTTGTTATTTTTTTATTTTGTTTAAATCTTTATTTGTCGCTGCTTACTCTCGTCGTAGTGTGCTGGTGCTTGCCCAGCAAGAGCTACAAGCAAGTTTCCAAGTGTGAGCTGGTTTCTGCAAGAATGTGAGCCTACATGCGATGCTTGGTTTGCATTTGTTTCTCCTGAGTCATGGCCCTGTCACGGACACGGCGCTTGGACAATTCTGCTGTTTGGCTTCGATCATGCTGTCATTCAGGAAGATTGCCTGGGCACTTGCCGGCAAGATCTTCAGCCTTTTTCAGGACGGGGGCTCCTTTCTTCAGCCACCTGGATGGTCCAGTTGCAGGTTGGGAAATGTAGTTTCGTTGCTTGCTTGGCGGCTGGGCATGACGGTTTACATTGGCCTGGTGCATTCTTGTTTGCCGAGTCATTCTTGCCCATTTGCCGCGCAGACCAACACCTTGCCCAATTCACTGTCCGGACACAAAAGCAACACAGGCCGTTTAGGGTTGAGGCATTTTGAGTTTGAGGTTCTCGAATATCTGGGGCTGTTTTCTGAACACAACACTGCTTCCTTTTGGGCAGTACCGTGTTTGTTTTTGGGGTCACCTGAAGCGAGAGAGCCAGGAGCCCAACTCCAACCCCCCTGCCCTGAGCTTCAGTGGCTGGGCCAACGCTCTGCAAGCGGTGATCCGCGCCGGGGGTCTCTACACCAAGGGGCCGAAGGTGGTGGAGGCGCGGAGTCGAGTGCCTTTGGCTTCCCGGGGCTCGGCCAAGGGCTCTGGCCTGCTCCAATGAAGTGCTAGCTGGAACAGCGGGGAACAAGACAAGTGTCGCACTGCGCGGCGTACATTTGCATTCTTAAATGCGCTTGGATGATGAGGGGCGAAAGTTGGCATTCTGCTACATTCCGCATCCGGCAGCGGCTCTTTAATCATTCAGAGGATGGTACCAAGTATTTGGGCGGCGTTTTGTAGGATTGGGGCTCGGACAACCTGTGGCCCTCCTTTGCAACTAATTTGATTGGCTGCTTTGAGCATCGCGGCCATGGCCGCAGAAGTGGGTACCTACCTGCCGGTTCGATACCCTGAGGGTGCGTGAAACTTCCCGTGCTGGCTTGCACGCCCCGGATTGCTAATTCATGTATGCAATTGGTGGGGAAGAGGGCCGGCCATTGCAGATGCTGAGATGCCTCAATAGCTGTTGGGATTTGAGCCAGGATTGTGTCGCAGAGGTGCTTTTGGTGAGGTTTCAGTGGCTCACTCAGAAGATGAACGGGGAGGGCAACCCTTTCAGATGTTCGGTTCTTGGGAAAGCGTAAATTGAGGGCACGCCGGGCGTAGCGCTCCGGTCCGTTTCGGGGTCAGGTGGTCTTCCAAACCTTCCTGCCCCGGGCGCAAGAGCAGCTGGGAATCACGGACGAGGAGGCAAAGAAGCACCAGGCCTCCACGATGTCAGGCGAGCCGGACATGTGACTGTGCAAGGCTGTTTCCATTGGAAGGGTTGGAGGGCTGCGACTTGCCAGGAGAATGGCCGCGTCGTGCAATGTCCCTATCAAGTCACGATGAATTCTAAAGGCGTCGTTGTATAATCCCGAGACACGTCCTAGCCGAGCATTATATTAAACCAGAGCTCAGCCAACCCTACACCAATGCCTTCCTTGCCCAATGCTGGACCTAAATCAAATGAATCTGAGCCAGCCACAAGCCATCACCATGTCCAAGACATGATTGAATAGCCTCAAACAGTTTTAAGCCAACCCAAACGTGAAAGAATAATCCTCAACGGCTAAGCCAATTAATGCGAACACATTCCTGCATGGCAAAGGATTCCTCCAATCTGGCTGCCGCCTTTTTGGCGAAGGACACCAGTTCCGGACAAAGAACCTTAAGTTATTTTACGTTTTGCGGGAGGCGTGTGTGAGTGGCAGCCCATGTTACTGATAGCAGTTTTGTGGCAGGTTCGAGGTGGCTACCCATTTTGGAAAGGAACAAGGTTCATGAACAAATGGGCAACGTAAGCGGCAAAAAAGTCATCACCATTATGCCTAGTTGCAGCATATGTCGTAAGAGCTTGTTCCTTTCCTTTTCGTGAAAATTCGCAGGCGCAAGTGATCGCAAAAGATCGGTGACCGCAACGAGTGGCTGAGCTGCACATTTGAAGCTTCGAAGAGTGCGACGGAGCTTTGGCATGGCTGTCCACAAAGCAAGGCAAACTGTTCGAGGAAGGGAGCCAGCCATGAGGCCAATTATGGAACATGTAGACTTATGTAACTACTGCTTTGTTGTGTAGTATATGGTTTCAGTCACTACATGCAAATTGGAATCATCAAGGTTCAGGAATCCAGTACTTATTATTTGGGTTCACCTTTGAAATAGTAATAATGATATTTTTAAAAAAATACTCCTTAAAATAATAGAAATATACTCATCAGGAAATAGGATTACATCCCCATACAACCAGAACTTCCATCATAAGCAATACAGTGCATGGCTTTGTTCGATGTTTTTTAGTAATGCCTGGCTTGTTTGGAGGATTCGACAATTATGGTGTACCTATTTTTCACGGATCTCCAGAAGTTGTAAAACCCCCGAGACAACATTTGTTCTATGACAATTATGTTACGTTCATATATGCTTGCCTTTCTTTTCTCAGAGCTTGGAGGTGGTATATCTTCATGTCTTACATCTCTTAAGTTTTGGACACTACTTCTAAATCTGAGTTCGTATCATGTTATATTAAAGACTAGTTGAATAATCACGACCCCTTGACCCCCAAAGAGGTACCCCAGAAGGGTGTGCATGCATGTGATGTTGGAGGCCCCGTTGATAGCACGAACGTGCTGAATGGCAATGCCCATTTGGCTCAAGATTCAATGCCCATCATAGAAACAGGGTTTGCGCTCGCCTACCGGACTGGGGTTAATAAGGGTCCCGGTTTCTGGTTCGCTGTGTTTCTTTCCCTGTTGAGTGGTTATCAGCCGTAACTGCTTTTTGGGATTAGGCCCCCTCAGTCCGGTACTTCGTGCATGGACCCGGCTCCGGCCTTTTCGGCCAGAGGACGAAGGGGCGGGTGGGTCCATCGTCAGAAGCTTTACTACGAAGCTTTCGACGAGCTCACCCGTTGGGCTCGGCGCGAGTTCCAGGTTGGTGTAGCAAGAGTCCCCTGGGAGGAAGCTTCGGACTTGCATCGGAGCTCCCTCCTGGCGTGGCAGGCCGATTTCACTGGAGAGAGCTATCGGCACTTGCGGGACATCTACCCCGACCTCTACGACGCCGTCATCGCCCGAGGCCGCCACCAACCAATCCCAATTCACCAACGGGCGCAGGCCGCAGCTCAAGGCGCGGCAGGGCAGGCTTCAACACCAGCTCAGCCACAGCAACAGCCAAGCACCCCATCAAGTCCATCCTCCACCACAACTGTGTCCACCATCAAGGCTGCAGCTCCAAGCGCAGCGCAGACACAGGCAGCAACAGGGCCGGGAGATCAGGCTGCAGCTCCAAGCGCAGCGGTTCCACCAAGAACCACAACTGAGAGCCCGTCCCGACCTTCATCCTATCCGCCTGCAACTGCGAGTAGGGGAAGGTACACTGCTGCGGGGAGGTCCTCATCGAGGAGGAAGAGGACACCGACGGCGAGGCGACAACCTTCCCTTGCACCGGTGCGGAAGGCGTCGACCAGACGCCCGAGATCCAGAACTCCCCTCAGGGCTGCAGCTCCAAGCGCAGCGGGGTCGAGGACCAGGAGCTCCAGCTCTTCAACACCTCCGGCCCGTGCATCCGTGAGCGGCCGGCCGCTGATCTTGGCGCCGGCCAACTGCGCCTACCCGACAACCCGGGTGGACAGCACAGGGATCTGGATCCTCCAGCACCGATACGAGGGTGCCCCACGACCCACGCGTCGGGCGCTGCACCCGGTACCCTCAGACGAGCCGTACGACCTCCCAGACTCGTATTGGCATCATCCGCCGAGGGCAGAGTGCTCTTCCAATCCTCCCCGAGGTCACGGCAGGGCCGAGCACTACAACCTGAGCGAGTCGCCAGCTTCAGAAAGGTCGGCACAAGCCGTGTACTCAGGTCGTGCGGCCTTCAACCCGGACAGGGTGTACGAGGCTGAGCAGGTCAGCATCAAGCGGCCTGCACCTGCCGGGCGCGACTCATCCACAGCACCCGCAACAAAGACCGCTCGGATTGTTTTTGCCAAGCGGGAAAGCCAGGTCAAGGCGCCCCCACAAAGCGTACTCGACCAGGCAGCTGCGGATCGCGCTGCGTCGAAGGCCATCCCCCCACCACCGCTGGGAGCACCACCAGCACCCCCAGCACCAGTGCCAAGGGCTGCAGCTCAACGCGCAGCATCGGTTCCAAAGTCGATTAGTGGGGTAAGACGGCCTGAGACACCGCCCAAAGCATGCAAGCGGGCGCCACCCTCACCTGCACCACAGGTGAGGTACAAGTCGCCACCGGCTCCCAAGTTGCCGGTCAAGCAGCCACCCACTGCAGCTGCCAAGGGCCCCGTCCCTGACGGGACACAATTCGGTGCGCCTCAGCAAGAGGCCAGAGACCCGCTGGTCATCGCCCTCGACTGGCGCAACGCCCTCGGCATTTCCGAGCTTGACGGTGCGCCCAAGGATTGGCTTTTGCGAACAGTGTCCAAACTGTATTGCAGCCACTATCCCATCCAGTTCCGCATCGTCAGCTACTGCCAGGCCCGGGACACCCGGGAAAGCACCCTCCGACTTGCCACCCAGTTTTCCGAGGTGTGCAACGACGCCATTGACGGCTTGGGCGCACCCCCGTTCGGAGACGTGGTTCTGACCTGGAAACGGGTCGGACCATCTGGCAAGGCTGCAGCTTTAGCGCAGCTCGGGGCGTGCGCCATCGTGGACGACAACAACTCCGTCCTCAAGGAGTGCCGCACCGCAGGCGCCCTCGGCGTAGGTGTCGATCGGCGAGACGCCAACCGGGCGCTTTACGACGCGCTGGACGAGCTCCACGAGTACCTCACCCGGCACCGACGCCTTCTCCGCCCTGCCAGGATACTCGATCAGAACGAGTACCTCGAAGAGGTTGGCCGCCGCCCGCAATCGGCAAGGGGCGGCCGAGGACTTTTTCGTTGGCCTGGCACCGCCGGAGGCTGCAGCTCAAGCGCAGCAAGTGCACCGGTTTCCAACACCGGTTGTATCATAAGTTTTCCAAGGCCGCAGCTTAAAGCGCGGTGTGTCAGCATACGTGAGCCTGACCTCGTGTGAAAGGTGCATCCGACATGGCATCAGGGATTTCCCCACCTTCGGATGATAGGTCAAGGTCAACCCCTGGGGGAGAATCTAATGAGGACGGACCCTGAACTAGGTGATATTTTGGTACCCGCAATGTCCGTAGTTCCCGTAGGTTCCAGGGCATCCTCATCAAGAGATAATCGTAGTCGCGATCGCAACGCGACTCCTCCCCGTAGGACTCCCATTGTAGAGGAACCTGAATCAGACTCTACAGCAACTCCCCTTGTGTATAGCCCACAGGTGCCCACTCCCGACCCTTCTAGGGACATGAGTGCTGCCGCGTTTGTGGCCGGATCGGCGTTGCAACGTGCGCATCAAGCTTCGCTCATTGCTGATCAGGCTGCCAATGTTGCCCTTCACGAGCATCGAGCCGCGGACCAGGCCAGACAAAGGCTAGGGGAGGTTGCCGCTGTTGCGCAACAAAGGGAGCAGACCTTTAGACAACAGGCAACTGAACTGACATACCAAGCCCAGCAAGCAGTCGAACGAGCCCGTGCTCAGACAGCATTAGCTGAACAAGCTGCACAGCATTCTCAACAGGAAGCTCAAGGCCATGTTCAACAGGTGAGGCAGGAAGCCGAAGGCCATGTCCATCTGTTAAAACAGGAAGCCGTACGCCATGTTGAGCGTGCTAGGCATGAAGCACAACAAACAAGGTCGGCCGCTGAAGCCGAAGTGTGAACAGAAGATCCTCCAGCAAAGCAAAGTGATAGATACATTAGGGAGTGAAACCCTTTTGTTGTCGCAACGCCTTGCTGACCTAGAAAGGGCTGTCGCATCCATGGCACAAAATGTTCCGGTACCTCCGGATGAAAGTCATGAAAGTCAAAATCCTACGGATCCCGGGTCATCGGGGCTAAATGACGTTGGACGTGACCTTCAGGTTGGATCACAGGCTCCCCAAGTTCAAGGGCCGAGTGACGCCACACGTGAGCAGTATCCCCCGAAGGATGCAGCTCTAGGCGCATCGGGAAGTTTAAGTAGCGACCCTAAGGTAGCGCCACGTGCCCCTGTTGGTTTCCCAAAATCCTTCGCTCCCCCACAGCCCGACATCAAGTCAGATGCCAAGCGTGTCCAAATCCAGGATGGTGATCCACGTGCACAACCACAAGGACCACCGGACGTCGCTCGGACTCAGGATGTAAGGGGACCTGTAGACGTACAGGCACAAATGTCCTCTTTAACTGAGATGGTCTATCAACTTTCAAAGTTAGTTGAAGCCCAGGTAGGGGTATCAGGGGCTTCGCCCCCGATCGCATCGGCTCAGGCACCCCCACCTTCCGTAGCTGCCCAGCACACAACTGCTATCCCCACGCTTAGGCTAACAAGTGCAAGTACAAGTCAAGTGGCTCAATTCACATCCTCCCCACTCGCACCTTCGGAGGCAAGCTCCGACACATCCTCAGAATCCGGTGACGAGGGTCACACTCCCTCATGCCGAGTCCGTGGTGGCCCGCATGATGATACCGCCTGCCCCTCCCTTTCCATGAATGGGGGGCAGGGACAAGGTACTCAAGCAGCAGATGCAAGTGGTGGGGATGCTGCTACAGGCGCATCAGATCCGGCCTCACATGAGGAAACCGTGGTTCGCATAAAGGGGCCTTAAGGATTTAGTCCTTCCTCTTCCGCCAGAGAACGTGCGTGAATCAAGTCCTCATGGCCATTGGACGTTTGCAAAAGACGACCGGTGACAAGCTCTATCTCTGGGCCCAGGATTGCCTGACCTCATCCGAGGAACAACTCAGGGCAGATAAACGTTTCCCACGCACAACCCGCGAGATAGCCGCTTCTAGGTTTGAAACTTGCCGGCCAGTCAGTAGCAGACATAGAGGCTTTCCGTGAGAAGCACAACTATATTCTCCGTG